AATTGTAGAGTGATGGATTTGGAATACTCCCTTATCCAAGCAGATCTCGGACTAGTCCTTCTATAGGCACCTCAAACAATAACAACTCTAGTTGGGGGTGCCAGAATTAGTACTCCGACAGTCTAGTTAGTTTTCTCCTTTTCTAGTATATGGGTTACTCTTTTTCTTAAGTGAGCTTTTTAGAACATACCTGATCATTGGGTCTTCATCTTCCTTTTATAGACCTTTTCTTCTTAGGTTTTATCCTTTACTACGCACCTCATCTGGATCTCAATGCTTTATGGCGAGGAATCGGCAACTAGCCACGATGTCGACTTGTAATAGATTACTTGGCTTCTGTATTTAGGATTAAGAGATATAACTCGGCTAAATGTGTCCGATGGATGAGGCCTAATGGGCCGATTCACAATTTGGGCCCGATGGTATAGGGCTATATAAATTCGGCTCCCACAGATCTCATCTACTATACAAATTATAAATATTCAAATTTTTTAAAATTATGATACATCATCTGTTAGTACACTAATTAATATACCAATTGATGCATATAGTATTATTCATTGAAAAATGTTATGGTGCAAACCTATACTATCCAAATTTTTTTAGATAAAATGTTTATATGATGTAAATTGAATTGATAAAAAATAAATTCAAATATGAAATAAATATAAATTATAAATTAATATTTCTTAATAAAATTTGAAATAATGTTTCTAGACTGTTGTTGAATGCCATTTGACACATGCATCATCTTTCTAAATCTCTCTCCTCATTAGCTCAAGTGGCAAACATAAACAACTGAAAACTAGGAAGTGGAGAGGGTGAAGCAAGCAACACTCTCATTAATTATGGAAAATATTATGAATTTTAAATAATTTATTTAATTTTTTACTAAATTTCTCATATAAATATAGGACTCATATAAATTTACATGTATGTAAATCTCACATCTATATAATAAATTTAATAAAAAAATTAATAAATTATTTGAGATCTTAGATTAAGTCCATGAATTTCAAACTCCAAGTTGGTTCATTTCCCAAGTGAGAACTTCTTAGCCCCACACCGTCTTAAAAATGAGAAATTATTGAGTGTGATATTGTGGCAATATCCTAATAGTCTCAAATGTCACACGGTGAATTTTAAAAATATTTGTTTTTTATGTGATGGCGCAACTTTCGTTTTTTAAAATGTTGATTTTTATGTAATCGTGTGACTCTTGTATTGAATATTGCTTTTAAAAACATACAAAATTAGTAATAAATCTTCCGATATAAATACATATGAGATCTAATCCACACAAAAAAAATCATCAAAGTTAGAAGTCCTTTTCTTTATAAAGTTTCAAAGGTAGAGTCCATATTCTACAATTTTTTATTTTTGTATGACTAATTTATCCCTACATAGTCAAAGAAATTTCACTCAAAAAAAATTTCACTCAAAGAAATTTTAGTTAGAAAAGATGTGTGGTTAGTAAATTTTTATTTTTTTTATAATTTCATATCCATCATAGAACTTATTTAATAAATCTTGATAAAAAAATTATAAAAATATAAATTTTATGAAAAACAGATATACAGATCAAAAGTTATTAAATTTTAAATTTTTTTAATCATTTCAAAATAGCATAGCAAACTATAGTGCTGGTGTACTTTTTTGTGAAAATGGCATCGGAAGTCGTAGAGGACTTGAACCAAAAAAACTTTTTCTTATGTCCCCTTAAACTACCAAACATTAGGCTAAGTTTGGAGGAGGTAAAAAAAGTTAAAAAGTAAAAAATTACTCAAAAAGTTAAAAAGTTAATACTATTCATCAAAAGTCAACAATTACGGCTGCACAACTCTCAATCTTAATTTTTCTCTACAAACTAATTTTTGCAATTTTTTATTACACATTTTTTCATGAAAAGTCAAAAAGTTAACCCAAACATCCATATTTTTTCTCTTAACTTTTTAGTCCAAAAAGACAAAAAATGCACTTATTTAGGATACGCCAATCAATCCCTTATAATGAAGGAGTTGAAGCTAAATCTCTCTAATTTTTACAATAAAAACAATTCTAAACCCAACCAAGATAGGGTTCGTTTGAGAAATGGATTAGTTTTTTAATTTTTTAATTTTTTTGATTATTTTAATTTGGGATTAAAGAATTTTGTTTGAAAAGAACTTTTGACTTTTTTTTGAAAAATAATGTAATGATTATAGATTGACTGTAATATTTTGTTTTTTGTAACTATTTTAGCTAAAAAAGCCCAACCTTTGGCTTCCCGAGCCAAATTTAACAAAATATAAGAAAAATTACTAAAATATTCCTCTCCAACTTCAGGTAGTAGAAGAGGTCTGATATATATATTTTTTATTAGTTAACGTTTCTCAATGAAATTTTTCTATGATCACACTAAAAAAATTTTGAAATTTCTTTGTGATCAAATAAAAAAAAAATTCAAAATTTTACTGCATCGAAACGAATTTCTCTATAAAAATATTAAGAAATTTCAATTACCATAAAAATATTATATATTATTTATCTTATAAAATTTTAATTTTACGAAACATAAAAAAATTACCCCACAATATGACATCTCACTTTCTCTTCTAGTTAATCATTATATACCTCCCTCTCAAAGGTAGGATGGTATACAAATCCAACTATTCCACTTCAGCTTATATTTGATTGATTAAGAATTTGTTCAAAATCGTTTCATCAGGTAATTAAGTTAAATTTATTTTTATTTTTATTTTTATTAAGTTCTTAACTTATTTTTAAATAACTTATTATTTAACTTGATAAATTTATATACATTATTAAAAATCAAACTATTCAAACTTAATTTGTTATCAATTAATTAAAACTTGTTTAAATCAGTTTAAATACATTTCAAAATCTATTAAAATTTTAGATTAAACTTAATAGCGGTAGTAAAATCATAGAAAAAATCAACCAAATGTGAGACACATGTGAGATAAAGGGCTGTTTTGAGAACTTTGCTAAAAGTCAATTACTTTTAATCTATTTTTGGTCATATCATTTCTCTATTCTTTTTTTTACATATTTTTTTAAAAAAAATCATAAAATCAAATTTTAACCACATTTTCAAAACAACTGAAAGAAGGAGGTGCGCCCCACTCTATAAAATTACATTTCTTTGGAAGTTGTTTTTGCCTTTGTTTTTTAACTTTGATTTATTCTCATCTTTAGTAAAAAATTTAAAATCATGTTAAATTTAGGGTGAATTACACTAATCGTCCCTATAAATGACACATTTGATCCTGAATTTTGAATTTTGTTCTAATTAAGGACAATTAAAGATACCATTGCTCAATTTCAAGAGCAAAGTCATCAATTTGATAAAATATAAATTAATTTAACAAAAATAAATGTGAAAAAAATATTTTTAAATTTTTAAAAATTATTTCTACCCACCAAGTAAAATTATATAAAATTGATAAATCTTTTATACATTTATTTATTTATTTTACCAAATTAATTTTTATTATATGTTTGGATGATGATCATGCAATGTGTAGTTATTAGGCTTTTAATGTGTAATCAATATATTTAATATATAAAATATTTTTAGTTTTGAATTTTTTAATTTAATTGATTGGTTTAATAATGATATCAAAGTTGTCGTTCTATTTGAGTTTTAGAAAAATAGAAACTAATTTAATGAAAATAAAAATAATTATCCATTACATGATCATCATCTAAATACATAATAAAAATTAATTTGGTAAAAAAAAATTAAATGTGTAAAAAATTTATTAATTTTACATAATTTTATCTTTGGTAGGTAGAAATAATTTTAAAAAATTTAAAAATATTTTTTTGACATTTATTTTTGTCAAATTAGTTTATATTTTTTAAATTGACGGTTTTATCCTTAAAATTGAGCAATAGTATATTCAATTGTCCTTATTTAGAACAAGATTCAAAATTCAGAATCAAATGTGTCACAATTGAAAAATTAAGAATCAAAGTGATACAAATTTCAAAATATAAAAACCTTTAATATAATTTATTCTTAAATTTATAATTTTCTAAATCATTTTCGTATTTTCATCTTTCAGAGTAAAATATATCACAATTAAAAAATTAAGAATCAAAGTGATACAAATTTTAAAATATAAAAGCCGTTCATATAATTTGTTCTTAAATTTATAATTTTCTAAATCATTTTCTTATGATCATCTTTTTCGGCGAGTGAAATAAATTTTAAAAAATCTTCTTAGTGTTGATTTTTGTGAAACAAATAATTATTTTTTCAAAAACGTAACAGGAAAAAATCACTATTTTATTTAAATTACATTATTTCATTTAAGTCATATCACTTCTCTAATATATCATTTCAAACTCAACCCAAATCCAACCCATATTTCATAAAAAGTCAAAAAGTATACTTATTTAGTCTTTCCAAACTTGGCCTAAAATAATAAAAAGATAAAATATAACTAGTAAATCACAAGATTATTCCTTCATGAGGCTCAATAAATTTTTTATAAATTAATTTTTTGTTAAATTTATTACAGTACCTCAATAATTTTGTTGAGACATTATTCATTAGCTACATGATTTTTATTATATTTTATGGAATAAAATTAGGCTAAAATCTTTAAATCAGTCGTTCCCCCAAATGTTTCATGAGTGTCGATAACAAAAGAAGAAAAAATGTCAAAAATTAATCTAACCGATCGACCGGTTCGATAATTTTTTTTATTTATATATTTTTAAAAATTATTTAGATGACACCTCATCAATTTAATAAAAAAATAAAAAATAATAAATACAATAAAAAATTAATATTTTAATAAAATTTAATTAAAATAAAAAATTTGATACAATAAATATTAAAAAAGTGATTAATTTCAATAATAAAAATAAATTTTAAGTTATAATTTAACTCAAAATTTATTGAGAGTGATGCAAGTGATCCAATTCAGAATGAGGTTGGTTTTGGTTTTCATAGCTGTCCAGTTTTTATTACAGCCTCTATTTACGCTCTCTCTCTCTCTCTCTCATTGTCAGTGTAATAAAGAAAGAAACGCTCGTGTCTAAAATGGCAGTCTCAAATCTCTGCAAATTTTAGCTTTTTTTTACTCTCCCAAAAAGCTCATTGCTTTGATTCTAATCGCCAAATCCATCTTCTGGGTTTCCAAAACCTCCCTCCTCATTGCTTCCCTGTCACTATTTGTGGGTCTCTTCTTACAGTCTAACCTCCGTTTTGTCATTGCTTCAAGTCACCAATTTTCTATCCCATTATCACTGTTCATTATTCTATTCAATTAAAAGATTTCATTTTTTTATTACTGTTTTATTCTTTCTTCATCATTGAGTAGGTTGGGTTTGGGGGAGTATTGATTTTTGATAGTATATGGAAAATGGGGTTGGCTCTGCAACGGGTTTGTTCTGTGGTGAGACTGTTCGCCATTGCAGTTGCTTTGGTTGTTCAAGGATCTGCAGGTGATTGATTCTTTGATTTCCACTGTTTGTTTGTTTGTTTGTTTGTTTGCTTGTTTGCTTGTTTTTTTTTTTTTGAGCTATGTTTCAATGTATTTGAATAAACCCATTCGGTTGTTTTGTCAAATTTCATTTGGGTTTGATGATTTTTTTCACTTTTGTTTTGTGCTTGGACAACATTTTGGTGATATGGGCAGATCAAATTTCTATCTTGCCGATGTTGGTTGTGTAATCCTGTTTTTGATTGATTCAAATTGTACAATGGGATTGTATTAGTTGAGATTGATAATTTTGTAATTTGGCATCTTTGTCATCTCTATGAATAAACCCATGAGGTTATGTTTGTCAAATTTCATGTGGGCTTGATGATTTTTCAACTTTGTTTTGTCTCTGTGCATTTAGACAACAATTTGGTGATGTGGGTAGATCAATTTATATGTTGCCAATGTTGGTTGTGTAATCCAGTTTGCTCATTGTTTGTATTAGATTTTCTTTTGATTGATTCATATTGTACAATTTGACTGGAATGGTTCAGTTTGATAAATTTGGAAATTGGTATCTTTGTCATTTGAGTATGGTTTCATTCTATGTTACAATTATGAGCAAGGGCACAGTTTTTTGACTTAAGGTTGGAGCTTGTTGGCTGTCAAGCTTTTGTTTAGCATCATTAGCTTAACAGTCTTAACCCTATACTTCATCCAGTGAATTCTTTTTGTTGAGGCTTCTCAGAGAACGCATTTGTCAAGCCTTAATCTGAAATTTTGTTAATTTTTGAGGACTCCCTATGTTCTTCTTGGGTGATTCCCAAGAACAACAAATTTAAGCAAATTGTGGAGATGGAGATTTGATATTTCATCTTTGTTAGATTAGCTACTCTGCAGGGGTGTTTGCAAATTTTTCTCCATTTGGAAAAGAGTTTGTAAAATACACTAAGATTTTGATGCTCCCGATAAATGAGATTGAAACAAGTTGTTTTTTCTTCTTCTCCTTTTCATTGACTTAATGTCAGTCAATTCTGTAAATTCTAGTGGAAGCTGAAACAATCTTCCACTAGTCATGATAAAATTGTGTTGAGTAAAGAAACTATAAACAATGGGTTTTTTCTGTTGCGTTTTTATTTTTAGTTTTTTAATTTTATTTTTCAGAAAACACATAAAACTTGTTTGACGAATTGTTTCTGAAAACTATTTTTTGCGAAAATTTACTAAAGACAACCCACTTTTAATAAACACAAAAATTTTGTTTTCGAATTTTCAAAAAATGTTAGCGCAAAAATGAAACCTTGGCCTAATAACCTTGCGGTTATGGGTTCAAGTCACGGGGCAACCACTTTGTGCACTATGTCAAAGGTTAGGCGTGTATCCAATCTTTCTCCTCGCAAACACACGTTAATGTGTATTAATTGGGCGTTGTTTTGTTAGCACAAAAATGAAAACGATAAGTGTTTTCGAACTTTCATTAGAACTTTTACTGTTGTCTTTACTTTCAGGGTACAACATATCCCCATCTCCAACAATTTTTTCTGCAAATCCTCCTTTTGAAGGATCCCCTGGTCTTGTCACTAATGGAAAGGCAAGCAATGCACCTAGTCCAGCTTCTCAGCGAAATGGTATGATTCCATAATCCTGGGATTGAATTGGCTTTAATATCATTTCATTTAACATCTGTTTTTACATTTTAGGGTCAGTTTTACACCCTTCACCCATGGTACCACCTGACAAATCTGCACCAGTACCCGAAACGAGCAAAGGGACTGTACCATCCTTGTCACCAAGTACTCCTACAGTATTCCCACCTTATAGTTCTGTTCCTCCCTCTTTAACTGTTCATGGAATTGTACTATCCCTACCTCCAAATGCTTCTCAAAGAGAGGCACCAAAAAATAACAATCCTGTCTCCGTGCCAATTGCTCCAGGTATATAGCTGAATCTGAATATGGTTTTATTCTGACAAGACAAGATTTTGATTGAATTTTATTTCAAAATGATTCCTTTGTTTCAATGTACAGTACCAGTTGCATCACCTTCAAGCGCACACCCAATCATGCCAGGTTCCATGCCACCAAGTCCTAATCAAAAGAAAGCACCAGATAAGAAGGCTCCTCTCTCTGTGCCAATTGCTCCAGGTAACGTTATGGATGAGCTTTTTGTTTTGTGATAACTGCACTTTTGTTCTCTTTATGTGTTAAGACTCATGCGAACTTTCTTTCAAGATATCTCCTGTTGAAATTTAACCTGACATCCATTCTTTCATGGGCATAATGCAGTGCCTCTTGCATCATCACCTCCAAGTGAAACACCCAACCGATTTTCACCAGTGAACCCTTCCCGGAGAAAAGGTATGTTGCGAAGCTATGTAATTCTTATATGGAGTTTTATCAAACTTAATGAAAATGTCATCAATATAATTTACCTAGTTCTTCTCCTCTTGCAGCTCCTTCCGTACACAAAGCGTCAAGGCACACTTATAATTCTTCTCCTCTTTCATCTCCCAAGTCTCCTCCGGATATGGGGGCTCATTCCCCCACATCTCCACCTTCAACCTCATTTTATAGGCATCATCACACCAGTCCTGCCCCATCATCACTTCTACTTCCTTCTCCTGCTTCAGGTCAGTGAGATTTGATATTTTAGTTGAGACTTGAGACATGTTGCTGCCAATTTACCATTTGTGTGCTTATTGTGATACATAGCACAAACTACCTTTTTTCTTTTCTTTTCTTTTGTTTCAATATTGTGTAAAGGTCCTATCATCCCTCCGGCGTCTTTGTATCCTCCTAAATCACATCCAAAGAGTAGGCAAAGGCACCATGCTCCTCCACCCGTGAATCAAGGTATCTAAACAGTTCTAAAAGTTAATACGAATCAAGTCTAGAGTGATTTTTTCAAACTCTGACGCCATTCGTACGTGGTATGATTTTCAGTCTCCCCATCCCATTCCCCTTTTTCTTCATCAAATAATCACATTTCATCTGTGCCCTCTCCATTTGCAACAGCTCCATCTGGAGAAACCACAAGTAAGGAAATCTCTTTCTCCTTTTTACCTTTTATCGAGGAGAAAAAACCTCGAAGAACTTCTTGAAAGTTTGTAAGAATTCGCTGCGTAGTTGATGACTTATCTATTTATCATGTTTGCATTGCAAGTGCCCGTGCCGTTTCTTTCTCCTAATACTTCTCCTGGATCTTCACCAAGGAATCCAAAGATGCCGCCACTCGTACCACCAATCCAAGCACTACAACCTCCTCCTCCTAATGAAGGTAAACAAGTTCTAGCCTCTCTTCATGTGAAGTTATGAGTCATGAGGGTATTTTTTTTTTTTTTATTTCCTTATTTATATAATTAGATGTGATAAGAGAGGTAACCCTGATTTTGGATCCTCTCTTTTGTACAAAATACAAAATATCTTTCATTCATCTCCTTCTTCATCATATTGCAAAATCTTACATGATATCAAAGCTAAGATCAGAATTTTTTGTATATTTCTTCTTTTGATTAATTTTTTGGGGTAGTATGTAAAAAAATAAAAAAAACCCTCATGACTTGTTACTTAGTACTTCACTCCGTTAAGTATAGTGTCTCTGCATTGTTTATCATATATATATTGGTTTCTGCTTCACAACAAAATTTTGATTCATTTTTCAATCAAATTTGTAGATTGTTCTTCACTATCATGCACAGAGCCATTAACAAATACTCCTCCTGGATCTCCCTGTGGTTGTGTCTGGCCCATGCAAGTTGGTTTGCACCTGAGTGTAGCGTTATATACCTTCTTTCCCTTGGTTTCCGAGCTTGCCAAGGAAATTGCTGCTGGGGTATTTATGAAACAAAGTCAAGTTCGCATCATGGGAGCAAATGCAGGTAGCCATGATCCGGACAAGACAATTGTCCACATTGACTTGGTACCTCTCGGAGAAAAATTTGATAACATGACAGCATATTTGACATTTCAGAGATTCTGGCAGAAACAATTGGTAATAAAAACTTCGCTCTTCGGTGATTATGAAGTACTGTATGTGCGTTATCCGGGTATCTGTTTAGCCTTCTCTTTCTTGGTTTGTTTCTATATTATTAATTGGGTAAATTACACATTTTCACCCCATTTTTACTTTAGTCCCTCATATTTTAATTGCAATAATTAAGTCCTCCATGTTCAACTCGTGTTTTAATGTAATCCACCCGTCACTTACTGTTAAAAATTTGAATGGAAAAAGCTCATGTGAGGGCCACGTGAGCAAATTTTAGGGGGTATTAGAATGAAAGATTATGGCAAATTATACTTACCCAAGGGGTTGGCCTGGTGGCAAGGCCTTAAGTCTTGGGAGTGTGGTCCCTCCAAGGTTCAGGGATCAAACCTCTGAGGTGTTAACAATTTCTTAAGGCCATCAGACTGGGAGAAAAACCCTTGAACTAACCGTGGTGCACTTGCAAGAAACTCCTTACCGAGGGCCTGTGCACCCTCTAGGGATTAGTCGGGCTTGATCTGAACACCCTAGTGCCAATCTAAAAACAGAAAAAACAAAAAAAAAAAACCACTTTGTCGTATTTCAATTTTGTCACTCAAATTTGAAATACAAGTTGAAATCTGACTAAAATGTTGCAATTACAAGATGAGGGGCCAAAGTAAAATTCTGCTGAAAGTTTGAAGATGAAAAATGTAATTTACCCATGTTAATGTGAATGTGGTTATTTATGGAGAAGTATTACAGGTCTTCCCCCCTCTCCGCCTTCAGGCATTAATGTTATAGATGGTGAACCGTATTCTGGTCGTGGCAATAACGGGAGGACTAGACAACCCCTAGGGGTTGATGTGAAGACGGGGCAGCATAAATTTGGGCTCAGTCGTAGCATCATTGCCATCATTGTTTTGTCAGTTACTGTAGCTGTAATTTTATGTTGTGCGCTCGGTTGGGTTTTTCTGTTCAAACATAGGGACTGCCAACGGGAGCCAATTCCTCTGGATACTCTACCTTCCCTATCAAAAGCTTCAGGTAATACTCTTAAACCTGTTAAAGCCAGGTGAAGGATTGTAAATGAGTTGAGTCAAGGCGAGTAGTAATTTGTTCAAGTTTGGCTTTTCTCTTTCGAGCCGATCTCAAGCAAGATTTAATCGAGCTGATCACAAGCAAAGCTCGAATAGGTTGGTTTTTTTATAGTGCATATAATTGAGTCAAGCAGAATAGTAGGTTAGGTTGTTCAAGCTTGGCTTGAAAATTTAACAAACTTCAAAATTTGTTCAAATTTGTTTTGTGGATAACAACCCAATTTCAAACAAGCTTTTAACGAGGCGAACATGAGTCAAGCTCAAGTAGGTTGGTTTGTTTTACAGGCCTAGCAAGGTGAAGACTCACCTTAGTCTGTTTGACCCAGACTAAAAATACATAAATTTTACCAGACCAAAATAAATAAATAAAAAAATACATAAATTACATAACTCCTGCCACTTAATTGAAAACAGTTATTATAATTAATGATAATTAACTTCAAATGCATTCTCATAAATATACAATGTACATGTCGGAGATCTTAATTAGGTCTAAATGAGTAGCTTAGGTGTTGTTTGATAACATTTGTCAGTTTTTTTTTTTTTTTTTGGTATATAAAACAGGAAACGAGTTTTTGTTTTTGATTTTGCTTTTGAAAAACAAAAGCAAAGTTGGTAGCCCGCAGTGGAGGGTGGTCAGATCAGATGCAGTGGCTGCCAGTTGTAAAAAAATTGAAAACAAAAACAGAAAACTGAAGCATTACTAAACAGGGATGTATATGTTGCAGGAATTGCTCCATCTATATTTGGAAGTGGTCCAACTTCTGCTTCATTATCATTTGCATCTAGTATTGCAACTTTTGCTGGATCTGCTAAGACATTCAGTCCAAGTGACATAGAGATAGCCACTGATAACTTCAATGCTTCCAGAATAATTGGTGAAGGTGGTTTTGGTCGTGTTTATAGTGGAGTTCTTGAAGACGGGACAAAAGTGGCTGTCAAGGTTCTTAAGAGGGATGATCAACAGGGGGGTCGTGAATTCTTGGCTGAAGTTGAAATGCTTAGCCGCCTTCATCACAGAAACTTGGTCAAGTTGATCGGTATATGTATAGAGGAGCGCAGTCGCTGCCTAGTTTATGAACTCATTCCTAATGGCAGCGTGGAATCTCATCTACATGGTATATATTTTACTCTCTACCAAGGATCAAATTTTCGTTTCAGTATATTGTTTCTGTTGAACGTTTCAGAAACATTTCAAAAATGTTTTGGCAATATATAGAAAATGAGGAAAGAATTTGGAAGCACAAGAAAGTATTTCAAAACAAAAACTAAAGCCTATATAAATGTTAATACATTCTTCATCATTACGTAATTGAATAGGTTGAGGTCTTAAAGCTCATTACACCAAAGAAATTTTTTTGTGACAATCTTTGTAAAGAAAAGTAATTTACGTTAACAAAGAAATAGATAAGTGATTAATCATGCTTGTTTTATTTTCTCCTCTCTCTCTCTCTCCTCTTCTCCTTTCTAGTTTCTCAAATTCTCTAATAAATTTAATATATATATTTTTTCCAAATCTTTTCTTTTAACAAAAAAATGCAAATTGAGATCACAATTGTTGGATATTCCTACTAGGCATCAAAACAACTTGTCCTTTTGGTATGTTTTGTAGTGTTGCAGTGTGTTTTGGTGGAAACAATGGAATTTCGGTATTCCACTAATGTTTTGTTTCGGTTTCTTAGGAAACAGAAACATTTTCAATGGAAAATAAACAGAATTTTGTTCCTTGCTCTTTGCATTGACATACATACCCAAAGCAGCTATATTTTTTCACATTTGTTTTGCCTATGCTCAGGCATTGACAAGGAAACTGCTCAACTTGACTGGGGTGAACGGTTGAAGATAGCACTGGGAGCTGCGAGGGGTCTAGCCTACCTGCATGAAGATTCAAGCCCCCGAGTCATACATAGGGACTTCAAGTCGAGCAACATCTTGTTGGAATATGATTTTACACCGAAAGTGTCCGACTTTGGCTTGGCTCGAACTGCTATGGATGAGGAGAACAGACACATCTCTACACGTGTCATGGGAACTTTCGGGTATGAAGGTTTTCTTTCTAGTTTTTATCTGATTTAATATCACCCTAGATAACACATGGCAACCCACTACATTTATCTTCTTCATCGGCTCTGCTCTTTTGATACTGACATCAGACCTTAGGGAGGTTGTTGGAGTTCTTTCCCACATTCAGGTTGTTTCAAAACAATTATCCCAAACCCTAGTTGATTTGAACTTATTTCCCAAACTTATGTTGTTTTGTGAAGTTGTATTTTGAAAACACAATTTCAATTAACTTAAAATACAACTTCATAAAACAATCTGGATTTGGGAAATAAGTTCAAAACAACATGTAGTTGAGAAATAAATTTTGTAACATCCCGTGTTAATAAAACACTCAAGGTTGGTGATACCACCCAAAGTCCTTGGGGTAGGTATAGTTGTCAAGCATTCGAAATCTATCATTAGCATTGATTCACTAATGGACCAACCAAATTTACTCCACGCTACCCTCAAAAGAAATTCGAAAAAGAAAAAGTAATGATAAATAATCAAATTTTGGAGCAGTATCGGGATGCAAATTTCATGATTCCTTAACAATTTCTTTTATTTTTTCAACCAGATATGTAGCTCCAGAGTATGCAATGACCGGTCATCTTCTTGTGAAGAGCGATGTTTACAGCTATGGAGTAGTCCTCCTTGAGCTCCTAACAGGTAAAAAACCAGTAGACATGTCTCAACCACCCGGTCAAGAGAATTTAGTTACATGGGCACGTCCACTACTCACAAGTAAAGAAGGGTTAGAATCAATTATAGACCCGTCTCTGGGACCTGATTTCCCTTTCGATAGTATTGCCAAAGTAGCGGCTATTGCTTCAACGTGCGTGCAACCGGAAGTATCTCACCGGCCTTTTATGGGCGAGGTTGTTCAGGCATTGAAACTAGTGTGTAATGAGTGTGATGTTACAAGAGAATTAGGATCCGGAAGTTGTAGCCAAGAGAATATATCCATCGACATGGATGGTCGGATTAGTACCAATTCAGGGCAGTTACGAGATCCTTTAAAAACCCAATCCCCGGTTTCTGATTATGATTCTGGGTTTGATCTTGAGAGGGGGCTTTCAATGTCAGATTTATTGAGTGCATCGGCAAGACTTGGGATGCGGGACTCCCGGTCATTTATGAGCCACTCGACCTCAGGTCCTTTGAGAACTGGAAAGGGCAAGCGGCTCTGGCAGAAAATGAGGAGATTGGCTGGGGGTTCTGTGAGCGAGCACGGGGCGACATTCAGGTTATGGCCTGGATCCCATTGAATATTCTAAAATTTCCTCCATGGAATTGACTTTCACCTGCAAATTTCTCAATTTTTTCCAAATTCTAAGTACGAGTGAGAATATGGGTCACGGATTCAGGTGGGAATCAGTTGCAGGGCTTGGACTTGTAAAGAGGTGAAGTTGTTATGGATAGGTAACAAATGGGATTTTTACCAAATGCAGGTGGTTTTAAATCATTACCTAAAAAAAAAAAGAAGGTTGTAAGTCAAAATTTCTAAATCCAAGCAGTTTAAACTTATTTCTCAAACCCAAGTTGTTTTATAAAGTTGTCTTTTAAAATATGACTTAAAAAAATCAATTGAAGTCATATTTTTAAAATATAACTTTATAAAACAGCTCACGTTTAAGAAATAAGTTTAAAATTGATTTGAGTTTTGAAATTCTGTTTCAAAACAGGACAACCTACATTGGTAAAAATAACTCGATAACAACCTTTTGTCGTGGTGATTTTTGAATGATGGTACAATTGAAAAAAGCTCATTGAAGTAACCTCAATAAGTGTTGAATGGTACAGGGAGCAACTTTCTTGATCAACTCAGGTCAATTGAGAACTTGAATCATTTTCTATATGAATAACGTGATGATTTTGCTATTATTTTGATGGAGGAAGCAAGATTTATTTGATCTTGTTGATCCATGATGAAAGGTGAAATTTCACTTTTTTGTTGCTGAAATGTATAAAAACAAGTTGGATTTTGTATCATGAAATAATCAAGTAATAATGATGATGATCTGTTGTAGAATTTCTTTGTTGTATTGACTGTCCTGACTTGTGAAGATTGTTGACACTCCATCATTAGCCAAATATTTCTACAAGGAGGAAAATATGAAAGAAAAATAAAAAAATAAAAAAATTAGAGATGTTTTATTTATTTATTTATTTTCCCTAATGTTCACGGTGACCCCTTCTCTATCTTTCCTCTTATTCTTTTTCTTCTTCTCTGTTGCAATCTTTCTCATACAAGTAATGACCGAAAAGGGTGGGGATGGGCTAAGGATTGGCGGGAAAGGGTGGTAAGGGGTTGGGGTGGAGAAGGAGGGAAGGGTAGCGGCAGTGGACAGTAAGGGAAGGCGGCCAAAGATGTGGTGGTGGTAATTGGAGGTGAGGAGGTGGTGGTTGGAGTTAGGGGTGAGTAGTGGATATGTCGATCCGCCCAAACCAATCGAATCGATCCGCATTTTGGATAGATGCGTGATGACAAGCGGACAATTATAAATTGATTTTTTCCAATCCGCCTAGTTTTGGACGGATGGCGGATTTGAGGTTCCTTTGGTCGCAATCGAACTGTCAAATCACGAATACTCTTAGTAATTTGTAAGATTTTATATTTTTAGTTTGTTTAAATATTCTATTTGTGTTTTTAATTGAAAAAGAGTTTAAATATTCTGTTGAATATATTTTGTTGAAAAATAGTTTTCAACTTGAATATATTTTTTGAATTGAAAAAAATAAATGTATTATTTATCTATATTTTTTGATTTTTAAATCTAACTCTAAAAATAATAAATAAAAAAATGATATATGCTTGTTAGTTTTTATTTTCAAAAATAGATATAGATGTAACAATATAGAGGCATACAATTACTACTGCTTTGTTCATGATTTTGGTGGTTTGAATTGTTTTTATATTTTAAGAATAACATATTGTAATACTTTATTTAGATGTGGCATGCTATGATTGTAACATGCGAATGAGGGATGTAGCGATTATAATATTTTAAAGTTTCAAACTTTCTTTCTTTAGATGAGGCATGCAGAGATTGTAATACTTTTTTGAGTCATTGATCGTACGACTTTTTTTTCTTTTTTCTTTTTTGAGGAAGTGCACAAGTTGAATTATGTTGAAAATTTATAAATTTTAAACCGTCAAATCGATTTATATCCATCCGTCAATTTGCTCAATCCACATCCGCTGAATTAGCAAACGGATTGGAGGCTCCGTGCCAAAATCAACTTGCGCCCAACCCTAGTTGGAGTGATTTGGCTTTGAGTTAAAGTTTCAAAAGTTGGATATGAAGGTTGAAATTTTACATTAGGATAAACTTGTAATAAAAAATAAGAAAATTTATTTAAAAAATGTTAGAATTTGACATTGTAACAAAATAAATTTTAAATTTTGTTAATTTAAATCTTAATCTTTTAGGGCTTGTTTGTCATCTCTTAAAAAAGTCAAAAGTTAAAAAGTCATTATTTTATTTAAGTCACATCATCTTATTTAAGTCACATCACATCTCTAGCACATCACTTCAAATTCAACCCATACTCAATTCATATTTCATAAAACAGTTCCGATTCGTAGCTCGAGAGAGTGTGGCTCGAGAGTGGCTCGACACCAAAACGACATCGTTTTGGTGTTTTTTTTTTTTTTTTCCTGTCATTTTCGTTCGACCTGCAGGGGAGGGAGAGGATGGGTTCATCAACATCAAAAAAAAAAAAAAATGTTGATCAACATCAACAAATTTTTTTCTGAACAAATTTTTTTTTGTTTATCAACATCAACAACAAGATCTGGTTCTGCAGATCCAGATCACCATCATCAACATCTTCATCAACATTTTTTTTTTTCCTTCATCTTCAATCCAGATCAACATCAACATCTTCATCATCATTTTTTTTTTTCCCCATCATCTTCAAATTTTGAACATCATCATCATCTTCAACATCTTCATCATCTTCATCAACAAAAAAAAAAATTCCCTTTCATCCTCAAATCCAAAACTAGAAAGGGGATTGCCATTACCGACCGATCACCGACATCACCGACCGCCATCACCACTGATCACCGACCGCCCCCTCTCTTCCTCTTCTCTCCTCTCTCTCGCCTCCTCTCTTCCTCTTCTTTTCTTCTCCTCCTCTCTTCCTCTTTTCTCCTTCACTCTCTCTTTTCTGTCTCTCTATTCAAAAAGCAAGAAAAGGAGGAAAAAAAAAATCGAAACCCAAAACAACGTCGTTTTTGGTTTTGAGCCAAATTCGGGCCTCCGAATTTCGAGCTACGGATCATTTTTCTTCATAAAAAGTCAAAAAGTACATTTATTTAAATCATTCAAAATCACCTCTTAATTGTTTTTAATATAAATTATCAATCTATTTACGTTAAGTAAGATCGAAAGAAAATTACTTACGGAAATAAACTGATGGTTTAAATTGAAAACAACTTAAAATATTACAATTTAAATTAACAAAATTAAAAAATCAATATTTATTTTATTATATATGCCAAACCTTATTATTATTATTTTTTGATATTTATTCATAAATCTTTCTTTACCTACTTATGTTTCATTTCATCCAAATTATTTTTTTATGTTCTAAATATGAATGTTCACATTATCAAGTTGATAAACATTCAAAAAATATTTATACGGATAAAATTATGCATAAAATATCTTAAATATGAGAATTAGAATTTAATGAATTAAATGTTCAAATAATAAAATTTGTTAAAATATAAAAATATATTATGAATTAATTCGAATATAAGAACTTGAAACAGGAATTTTTTTAATAAATTCACCTTCGTTTTTTTTCACCTAATTTTTCTAAGAAATACTATTATTAAGAGATGGGATCCAATAAAAAGAGTTGTTTTGGAACTTAACTAAACGTTAACTTTTTGACTTTTTCAAATTTAATTAAAAAAATGTTTAAAAAAATAAAAAATAATATTACTCAAAATAAGTTAAAAACTTTTAATCAAGTTCCAAATTAGGCCAAAGGAAATTAGCAACACCACTTTTTATTTTGATCAAGCTTTCACAAGGACTTCAATCTAGGACTACACCTTCCATTATGAAAGAGCAATATTACATTATGAAAGAGCAATATTACAAATTCATAAATATTTGTTCAAAAATAATAATTAATGATTCAAATTTATTTTACTTATAAATCTTACACCTTGTTAATTTAATCTCTACCACACAAACTCACTCTGTGTACATCATGAGTCTTTTAAGTCTGGGTTCCTAGTCATTTTGTTATGAAATATTATGGTACATACCTCTCAAACGTGTGTACTATATGCATATTATAATTAAAGAAAAAAATGACATAATTTTATATTATTTTGAGTCATAACTAAAAAAAAATGTCATAACTAAACATAATATGAGATATAATTAAATATCTTATGAGTCATAACTAAAATAACGCCATAACTATAAAAAAAAATTTGATCATAACTATGTATTAGAATTTTCCTATATTAACGATTGTTTATTCCAAACATAAAACAAATATTTGTGATAAAATAAAATAAAAAATGAGAAATTACGTATACATATCTTGAAATTTACTTAAAATACGTATTGTCTTTAGTGGTTTGAAAAATTATAAATACTTTTTTGTCATAAATTTTTATTTAACAAAATTAATTAAAAAAAATAAAATTTCTAACTAATCTACTAATTTTTGACATTATTAAAAATTATTAATTGATTTGATGATTTATTAATAAAAGGGACCATCATATATATTATTAAAAGTAATATTTTTCCATAATTAGGTGGCATATTATAAGGGCTTACTTTTTTTTAAGAGAGCCACGTTATATATTTTCTTAATTACATATAAAGTTCTACACAAACCTAATTAATTTAAATTATACTAACTTTACCTATTTTATATGGACTCTATTTGACAAATATTTATTTTTCATATATTTTTCATGATAAATTGAGATAATCCACAAACTTAATACTAATTTTGTGTTTCACATTTTTCTTCTTAATCCTTTCAAGGATATTATGATTTTTTTAATGTTAAATTGTCTTCTTTTTTTTTTCCAATTTTTTTGTGAATTATTTTATACCTAATACCAACTCTATATTATGGATTTGTCGTTTAAATTTTATAATGATTCTATATATAAAATTATACTTCATTTTCTATATTATTTTATATAATCATAACTCACAAGAGGAAAAACTTTCATAAAAATGATACTCTCGAAGAACCTCTAAAGTTTGTATTTACTTGAGTTATTTTTTCAGTTGTTGAACAGTAAATTCTTTTGTGTTTTGACATCATATTATAAGTGATTAATCACTTCACACACTAATATGTATCTATCATTTTGATGTTTTCATTATTTTTTTCTTTTTGGGTTTAGATGTTATGTGATTCTTTCTTAGTTAATCATTGTGAAATTTCTTTTATATAGTTGATATTTTAATTTAATTGAGAGTGTTTATTTTACAATCTTATAATTTAATATATATATATGTCATATAAAATCATTATATGATAATTCAACTACAACATTTTTATGTTCAATTTTTTAATAAATTTTATATAATTTGTATTTCTACATATTTTTATTTTTCAAATGAATAAAAAAGAAAATTAAATAGTTAAAATTATTTTTAATTTTACGTTACTAATTCTTTTTTTAATTTAACTATTATTTTTAATATCAAAATAAGTATTTATTTTATTATTTTATAATTTAATATATATCATACAAAAATATTATATGATAATTACACTTCTATAATATGATATAACTAAAATTATCAAAATACACAAATAATTTAACCAAAATTAATATATATATATAAGTATTCAAGTAATAATTTTATAAAATGATAACACTGATATTATCAAAATAAATAATTAAAATCATACTTTAATTTTAATTATTTAAAATTAAAATTATTATTTGATAACACACATTGTACCATCAAATATTTTTAAAAAAACAAAAGAATAGCACATGCATTACACTTGCCAACTGCTAATTTATTATGAAATTAAAAATTTCAAAAAATAAGATGTTATTTTAAAATCACAAAAAATAAATCGTATTTTAAACAACTATAGTGTAATTTATCCTTTAAAAAAAAAAAAAAAAAATTGTTTTAATTTTGTAATCGAAAATCACACGGCCGAAGTAGCCTTTGAAATCCAACGGTCTGTGTAGGGAGAAGAACTAGGAAACCCCATGTGGTCTCGCCGTACCTAATCAAACCAGGGAGTCTTACATATTTTACTAGTGACTTGAGCTCGATGGGTCTTCTTCATTCCGGCAGTGAAGTCGAAGCGAAAGATCTATCGATCCATCATCATCATCACAAAAAAATGGTATAAAATTTCTTCAATTTGTCCGCAATTGTGATTCTATTTCGTTATCTGTTTTGTGAATTTTTGTTTTCATTTTGTGATTTTGATTTAGGCTCAGTCAGTGAAACCTATCTCGAGCCCCGTCCCAGACGCCTGGTACCCAACCCTAGCTGTTTTCATGCTCGCAATTGGGCTTGTTGTCACCGCTTCCTTCTTCATGTTAGTCATCTGATCCGAATTTTTGTTTTTTTTTTAATTTAACAGAATTCAAACTTCATTGGAATTGCCAAAATTGAAATTGGTAAATCTCGATTTTGCTTATTCAGTTTATATTTGTTTTTTTATGGGTTTGGACGCTTTGAAGAATTGAAGAGCAAATGCAAACATGTGTACGATTTCTTTTGGTTTTGATTTAGTAGATGGGATTGGGAACAGTGCTTTTGTGGTCTAATTGGAGTAATTAGGGGCAATTATGTGGTTGATTGTTGAATCTGATGTCCGTGTTCTCGTTTTAATGGTTATTTGAGAAAGTCGTGTCGTGTGGGCTTGGTGAAATTCAGGAATGTAAATGAGGTTTCTGCAAAGTGAAATCGAGATTTTATATGGTTCCTGTTGACGAAAGCCGTTTCTTTCTTGGCATTAGGGCAGCACCAAATAGCTCCCTGTATATTTAAAAAAATATATTGGTCCATTTGTTATTGCTTTAAACTTTGGGCATTTATACATTTGTTTTGGGTAAGTAATCGTTTATACATTTTCAACCCCCCAAAAAGAACTTTGAAAGAATTAAAATATGGGATAGGGATCAATTTTGAACAATAAAAACAATAAGTAACTTTAGTGAGAAAGTTATGTGTGGGGAAAAAATTGGACCCACACTATTGGTGATGGAATCAACAAAGAGATGATGAACAAGCCTTGAATCTGAAACATAGAGCACCGTTAGTGCCCCGTCGGCTTACACTGGACGGCCACTCAGATGCTTAAGTTAGAACGACTTCAATAAATATAATGATTAGTACGTATACAAGAGTGTGTGATTGTGTCTATTGCTTACCTCCACCTCTTGGAGAATGGGCTCTTTATATAGAGGTTGGATTGTACCCATCAACATAACAAACTTAAGTAGTTATGGGATAGTGCCTCCTTATTTGGAGGAAATGGATTTTTGTCCAGGTGTGAGCTGAGATGACCCATGATGCTCTTCACCAGAATAGCCTAAAACAATGACACGTGCCACGTAATTTTCATGTTGATTTTTGGTTCTCGTAACTGCACCCAGCTTCCACTTTCTTTCATCCAAGTGAGAGGAAAGTGGAAGCTTTCCATTGAAGAGGTATTTAGGTGCTTGGCTAGGTGCCCCCCGATTTCCAGATTTGATAGGATATGATATTGGAGTGCCAAGTAGCATGCCTAATTGAGTTAGGATTTTTGCATAACATGCCTAGTGAGTGTTAGGTTTTTGGAGAATGCTTATTGGGTGTTGGGGCTTATTTTGAAAGTGATAAGGAATGTCTAGCAAGTGCAACGATTTTTGCATAGAATACCTAGCTAAGTTAGTGCTTACATGAAGAGTACTTAGCAGAGCTGGGACTTACATATAGAATGCCTAGCCAAACTGAGCTTGCTTGAGTAATGCTTAGGCAGACTAGGGCTTATATGTAGAATGCCTAGCGAAGCTAGGACTGACATGAATACTGGATAGGCACAGTTGTGGGAACCAAAAATCAACATGCAAAATACGTGGAACCCACCATGGGCACATGTCATTATTTTAGGTCATTTTGGTGTTCATGGGTCATTTCCAACTTACACTTGGATAGAAGTCTATTTCTTCCAAATGAGGAGGCACTATTCCACAATAAAGAGAACTACCTAAGTTTGATATGTTGGTGGGTACAATTTAAGCTCAATATAAAGAGCCCACTCTCCAAGAGGTGGAGGTAAGCAATAGACACAATAATAATCATTATATTCATTGAAGTTGTTCTAACTTAGGCATTGGAGTGCCCGTTTGGCGTAGGCCGATGGGGCAATAACAGTGCTTTATTTTGTAGATTCAAGGCGTGTTCATCATCTTTGTTCCAATGCTTACATTTTTTTGTTGGGTTCAGAGTTCTCATGTTGTTCAATACCTGAATGAATACCCATTTTTATATTGTGTATGTCATAAGGGGACTTTGTGGTGCGGGTTTATGGAAGAGTCAGGGATGGCTTGTTCTCTTTCACATGCTTTAGAGTGGGGAATGGGTACACAAAGTGCAGTTCTAGCATGACTTGCGTGGTCAGAGGCCCTGTTGAGAGGTATTCCTGGATCTTTTTTGGATTGCAACAAATCCAAGAGGTTCAGTTGTAGATCATTGGACTTCATTCTCCAGATTTGGTGTTTGGGACCCTATATTCTGTAGAACTTTGTAGGTTTGGGGATGGAATTTAACAAGGCTTTTCTTGGTGTGCTTGAGGAGTTGTTGATCCTAGCAGCAGCGGATGATACTCTTATTTAGGTAGGGTCTACGAATGGTCTGTTTTTGGTTTCATCCTTTTATCAAAAGTAGATTGGAGAAGTGGAAGGGGATTTTCCTTGGAAAGATATTTGGCGTTCCAAGAATTCACCTAAAGTGACCTTTTTTTTGGAAAACACCCAAAAACTATCTTGACAACTGATAATTTGAGGAGCAAATTTTTGCTTGAGTAGTATTGCATGTGTAAGAGTGTAGAGTAAGTGTGAATCATGAGAAATTGCACTACAGTCTTTGGGGTGGAATTGATGATGCCATGTTCTCTGAGGGGATTGTCCTAAGAAGGTATCTTTGATAATCATAATTAATTGGAAGTTTTCTTGAATATGATGTCCCTGCTGGAAATCTGTGGCAATGAAGTATACAAGGGATATATGTAGATTACAGAAGGTGTACAAGTTGAGCAGATTCTACCACATCAGAGCTCTTTTCTTATGATAGGTTTTGGAGGAAAGGAAACTGTGAGGCTTTGTTTTATTTACCATACCAAATATAGCCTTGTCTTTATGAAAGTCCTGAGTTCTATGAGTATAAATTCTTCAAAATTTTGTCTGCCACCCACACAAATGGCATCATATATCTAGAGAGGAAGCTTTGCGTCTCAAGTCCTTCAATTTGTAATCAGGTTCATTTCATCAATTTGGGGTTCCCTGTTTCCAATTGTAAAAGAAATGATAGTAGGTGCTGAATTAGCTGCAACATGAACTCTAAACAGACTACTCTACTTCACCTTAATATACATTCATTTGGGTGATTGTCCTTTTTCTCCAAACTTGATAAGGAAGGTCTTTATGAACATATAGAGAAATTTATTTATCAAATACTGAATTAGCATTCTGTTTGCACATAGTTCTTAGTGCTCTGGGATGACTCGTGGAAGAGAGGGCTTTCTTTGTATTTGAATGGAACCATCATAACGTAACACTCCAGCTTTGAGTCACAAATTAATCCGAACTTAGGCTACAATTTTAGTTGCCACATTGTAGCTTGACCTGGTGTCTGCATGCTCGTTGTCAATTACCACGTGGCCCAACTGTTAGGGCCACTTGACTTCAGTAGATAAATATGTTAACTGAGAACGGAGACGAAAAAAATTATGTACCTTCTGCCCTTGATGCAGAATTTTCTTTCCGGCCACTAATATATTCTAAGGGGTCAAATTCATAGGCCCGTATGACTATGAAACTACTACTTGGTATAAAGGGGGAATTTTAATAGAACAGAATGCACTGGATAATAAATGTGAAGTCGGTACTTCATATAGAACATATCATTTTCTAGTCCCAATAGGCATGAAAGGTGGTCTGAAGTGTATATTTTGGTTTTCATCAACATTTTCCACCATCCACTAGGGACGAAGTCATTGATGTTTAGAGGACATTTTAGTGTCATCCGTTTCTGAATGTAAGAAGGCTGCTCAAACGTTCTTTGGATTTTGTTAGGTTGTGGAATTCCCGTTCTTTTTTCTAGTTGTGTTTTTTTTTTCTAATGATTGTGAATTTCTCTTGCAGCTATGAAGCAACCTCTTCGAGGAAAAATCGCTGCCTGGCAAAGGAGCTGACAACAGGAGCAGTTGCATCTGTCTTTCTGGTATGTTATTGGTTTTGGCCTCTTATGTTAATAACCTAATACTACTATGGTTGGGAGAATTAAAACAACAAAGAAAAAAAAAAGGAAAAAAAAAGGAATTTGGGGTAAATATTTACAAAAAGGTGGGAACTTTTGTTAATTCAACTATGGATGAGAATTGCAAAAAAGAACATAGAAAAAAAGAAGAAGAAAACCTCCTCTACCTACAACAGCTATCGCCACCACTGAGGACCAAGTCGACCACTGCGACTGCTCCACCATTGCGAGGCTTAGTTTGGTTTGGTAACCTAATTTATGTTTTGAAATATCTGTTTGTCGCTGATGCTAATTAATTATCTTCTTGGTGCAGGGTTTCGGATCCTTGTTCTTACTCATTGCTAGCGGTGTTTATGTTTGATTTCTGCGTATTGAACCAGATGAAATTCGGTCAACGTTTGAGTCGTTTGCATGAAGGATGATATTTTTGACAATATTAGTTAAAAGTGCTCGAGGCTTAAATTGAGGATAACCTTTGTTAGTTTCACATCACAAGCTTGTTTTTGTTGTAGCGGCTGATAATGACAATGAATTGTTGGATTTTTTTCACCGAATAACTTAATTTGAAACCCCTCTCTCTCTCTCTCTCTCTCTCTCTCTCTCTCTCTCTCTCTGAGAAAATTAATCTCCTTAACTTCTACCTAATATGCTCAAATCTAACCCGAGGTTTTACAACTGTAGATTCTGGAAAACGTTTGTACCTAAAAGCAATCTTGTGAGTTATCAAAAGAAAGAAAGAAAAAAAAGAAAAAAAGAAGCAATATTGTGGTTATTTTTTATTATTTTTTTTAGAACTGTTGTGGTTTCAAAATCTTAGAAGTATGTTTAGACATTGAGGAAGATAAATCTACCAAAGATTTGCAAAATTGATAAGCATGTAGGAGAAAGTATTTTATATAATAACGTAGTCGAATTATTTGCAGTATGGTAAAAAAGAAAGGGGAAACAATTCAACAGTGAAGTAGACAAAAATAAATTACACAAACATAGAAGGGTACAAGTTATTTGCACTTCAGCACAAGCTCACTTACACTCTACATGTTTTTGTAATTTTTTTTCCCCACTCTATTGTTAAGTAATTTTTCCAAAAAATAAAAAAAATGGGACTGGAGTTTGAAGGGTGTAGCACTTCAGCGTAAAATATATTCGTGGCATGTTGGGGTGAAAAGAAATGTTGTCAATGTCATACTAGCTGGGCATGGGATTAACATCATTTAATGATGTGAGCTCCACTCTTTATTATTAGTAAGTGTCACAAAGAAAGATGCAATAGAAAATAATTTCTAATCTTATTTAGGGAATCAATGACAAACATTAGCACATACCATTAAGGAGCACCTTTATATATACATATATATAATTTTGTGGGTAATGTGAAAATGATATATGGAATGCCATTGTAGTGAACGGAAAGCAATTGGATATAAGGCATGCAAGCTATCGTACTATGATTTGTAACTTGGAAGTTTTTGTTTGTTTGTTTTTTTATTTGTGATAGTAGTCATTGATTTATTTTTTTTCTCTCTCCTTCATTATGTCCTCCTTCATATTCACTAGCTAAGACAAATTATAACACCATGTCTGGAAATTTAAAAGAGAAAAGAAAAGTAATATGGTGTGTTTGGTTTCAGTTTTTTTTAAATTGAGTTTTTTGTTTTTCGTATTTTTTTATTTTTAGTGAATATTTTTAAAATTTTAAGCATTTTTTTAATATTTTTTTAGATACTCCTTACTTAGATGTATCTAAATAGTAAAATATTTGTGAAAAAATATTTTAAAAAATTAATAAATACACAAAAATATGAAAATATACTGAATTTTCATATATATATATATATATTGTATTTTTGGTATTTAGTGCATTTGTTAAAAAAAATTCACGAAATTATGATTTTTAATTATATTTATGTTAGATGTGTCTAAAAATTAAAAAAATTGTTTAAAATATTAAAAAATTTGGTAAAAACAAAAAAATACGAAAAATAAAAGTGTATTTATGCTAGATGTGTCTAAAAATTAAAAAATTTGTTTAAAATATTAAAAAAATTGGTAAAAACAAAAAAATACGAAAAATAAAAAAGTAAAATTTTTTTTAAAATGTTTTCAAAAAACTAGAAACAAACCTGGTGAATGATTTATTAAGAGAGAAAATAAAAAAAGAGAAACTTGTTCTCTGTCATTGGGTAATCTTGAAAGGCAAGAAAAAGAAAATAGTGATTTATCTTTATCTTGTTTGGATAAACTATTTAAAAGAAGAAAAATATAAACTCTTTCAAATTATATTAACAAAATATAACATTTTATGTTTTTATTTTTGAAAAATTTAGTTAAAGCTCCCTCATAATAAAACTTTAATACATTAAGGCCTCGTTTGGGAACAGACTAATTTAGTAATTTTTTGGCTATTTGGCTAAAATATGAGCTAAAAAAAACTAGTATGTTTGGAATGATTTTTTGACTTTTTACGAAAAGATGTACAAAAAGTAGAGAGAAAGGAGAATCTTTGACTTTTTGGTATGGTTTGTTGGCTTTTTGGCTTTTTGGCTAATTTAGTAACTTTTTAACTTTTTGGCTAAAAAGTTCGATTGCCAAACGAGGCCTAAGGGCAAGGGTTTCTCTTTTTTCATTTTTTAGGAAGGGTTACCGGTTAGGAGCAAAGGTGGAGAGAGACCTTAACTGATATGAAAAAATATATTGGACATCTCTTGCTACTTAGAATTAGAGAGGGATGTTTCACTAATTTTTCCTTAGAATAAATAAAAAAAATACCAAATGAGTCATCTTTCCATTGAATTTACAAGAAAATTATATAATTTTTTTTTCTCATAATGCATAATCTTGTACTTTTTTCCGAAAATAAAATTTAAAAAATTGTTTAAACAAAATTATTGATAGAATTAAATTTTGATTTTGAAATTTTTAAAAATAATTTTTTAGTTTTCAATCCATATTTTTTAATTTTTAGTGATTTTTTTATTTTACTTTTTAGATCACTTATAATCTACACACACTCAAAAGTACAATTTTTGTGAAATTTTTTAAAAAATAATACATTTTTATATATTTTTTGTATTTAATAAAATTTTTAAGATTCCTTCACAACTATTTTACTTTTAAAAAAATTCACTAAAAAAAAAAAGAAAAATTACTCAAAAACCCCATTTGGAGAAATGTTGTTCCATTTACGCAGTGTTTGGTTAGGGGACTTGGGGAGAAATTTGAGAAGGAAAAAGGAAAAAATGTGTGAAATTAGGTGAAATATAGGTATTTTTTATTCACATTGTTGGCTTTTTGGCTAATTTAGTAACTTTTTAACTTTTTGGCTAAAAAGTTCGGTTGCCAAACGAGGCCTAAGGGCAAGGGTTTCTCTTTTTTCATTTTTTAGGAAGGGTTACCCGTTAGGAGCAAAGGTGGAGAGAGACCTTAACTAATATGAAAAAATATATTGGACATCTCTTGCTACTTAGAATTAGAGAGGGATGTTTCACTAATTTTTCCTTAGAATAAATAAAAAAAAATGCAAATGAGTCATCTTTCCATTGAATTTACAAGAAAATTATATAATTTTTTTTTCTCATAATGCATAATCTTGTACTTTTTTCCGAAAATAAAATTTAAAAAATTGTTTAAACAAAATTATTGATAGAATTAAATTTTGATTTTGAAAATTTTAAAAATAATTTTTTAGTTTTCAATCCATATTTTTTAATTTTTAGTGATTTTTTTTATTTTACTTTTTAGATCACTTATAATCTACACACACTTAAAAGTACAATTTTTGTGAAATTTTTTAAAAAATAATACATTTTTATATATTTTTTGTATTTAATAAAATTTTTAAGATTCCTTCACAACTATTTTACTTTTAAAAAAATTCACTAAAAAAAAAAAGAAAAATTACTCAAAAACCCCATTTGGAGAAATGTTGTTCCATTTACGCAGTGTTTGGTTAGGGGACTTGGGGAGAAATTTGAGAAGGAAAAAGGAAAAAATGTGTGAAATTAGGTGAAATATAGGTATTTTTTATTCACATTTCACCTATCTTTTCTATTTCCTTTTACAAATCTCTCCTCAAATCTTCCAACTAAACACAACATTAGTCTTGGAAGTTTTCTTTTAAACCATTTGGTCATTTTCATTTTTGGTATGTTGTATTTATTTGATTTGGGGATTGAAGAGTTTACTTGTTTGCCCCTGAATATGATTTCGGTTTGATTTTTTCCTAATGTTTTGGATGGGTTTGTTATGGTATGGTGTTAGTTTCCTCTTTTTTTTTCTTTTTTTCTTTTTTTTTTGGGATTTGGTGAAGTGATTTATGGGATTGTACGATGTTACCCATTTGTTCGGTGATTCTAATGTGGAATCGTGGGTTGATGTAAGTGTTGAGGATTTTCAATATTCAATTGTTGTGTTTGGTGCTTTGGTGTTTGTAGTGCTGTTTGCAAAATTGCAGGTCGGTATCGGCACTGTGTTATTGACGTGTTGTGCGACATTTTTGCATGTCAGTTTCATATGTTGTGTTTATTGTTGAATCAATATCATTGGCTGTGGTTTTCAATTTTTGTGTGGGTATGTCGGGGAGTCTGGTTTTTAGAGTGACAATGTTTCTTTCGCATTATAGGTTGTTCTTTGATTGCTTATGTGCGAGATGGGTTTTTTTTTTTTTTTTCCAGGGAACTGTAGTGTTATGGGTCGTAATGTTATGTGCTGCATTTTAATTTACCACAGGTGTGGAGTTTTCAGTGTTGTTGTGTTCGTATGGGTAGATTGGTATGGTTGTTCACTTCCATCAAGCCTTCACATTTGCACAGTTGGTTGATGGTGTATGTGAAAGGTTTGATAGCTTGGTGCCGGGGTCGGTGTGTTTCTTGTTCACTGTCACCAGATATAAGAATTTGTGGTCCATTGATTTTTTGATAGCACATACATTTTTGTTTTATTTTCGTTGAATGTGTTGGACATAGCATCATTTATTTTTTAGTTGACATTGATTTTTTGATAGCCTATTGATTATGTGCCCCATTGTCAAAAGTTATGGTTTTGTTTGTTAAAACAACATTACGAATTTGGAGACGCAAAACTGTTTTGAAATTATGCTCGAAACTTTGCCAACGTGGTCCTCTTTTGTTTTCGTTTGCATTGTGATTGAAGTGGATGTTAATTTATGTTTGTATGATTTATTAGGTTGATGGATTGGATGTTAACGATAGCGTGTCGAGTGGTGTTTGTGCTAAACGTAACGTGCCTTGACTTGGGGTACTTGATTCCCCGAACCGCAATGTGCTGTAGGCTTAGTCTGACATGGGCCTTTTTTTTTTTTTTTTGGTTTGCATTGTGATTAAAGTGGATGTCAATTTAAATTTGAGTGAATTATTAGGTCATAGTCTGATTTGAACGAATTATTAAGTTCATGGACTAGATGTTGACAACAGCGTGTTGAGTGTTATTGGTGCTAAACATAGCAATCTTCGTGTTTGGGTACATCATTCCTCGAACCACAAGTTGCTACATAATCATTCCAACGTGGACTTCTTTTTTTTATTGGGTTTGCTTTGTGATTGAGAATGGATGTTAATTTAAATTTGTGCGACATATTGCGTTATTGTAATGGTTGTTAAATTTGTGCGACATATTACGTATTATAATGGTTGTTTAATGTCACAAATCTCGTGCTTGTAATGAAGCACGATGTGTGTTGTGTATGTTCAACGTAACGTCTCCGAACTTCATGATAGTGAATGGCCCATTGATCTTGTGCTTTGTGCACTTAACACCATTACAATTTTGATGATTTATTTGTCAATGTGTAGATGTTCTGTATATTAAAACAATGCTGCAAGTAGTAAGTTGACTTTGAGGTAGTTGGTATGAAATCCATAGTCATATCCCACCTAAGCAACATTGCAAAAAATAATAAAAACAACCGCAATGCAATCATGAGTAGAAGAATGTGAACCTCTGTCACAACCCAAACCTGCCCCTATGGGTTTAGCGTCGCAACCGCCCAGTAATCCTTGGATTACCAAAGGCCTCTTACAGGATAATATATAAGTAGGGGCTGCGGAAGCAAATATAAAAACATACATAGTCCAATGAGCTATAAAGACATATATGGGACAAAATTTTAAAACTTTATACACATATATGTGATGTCATAAATACATTAGTCTTACGTCACCTGAGCCACTTATACAAAACTTTCAAAACATATTCAGACCAAACATAAACATTTAGGAGGCACTAAAGTTCCAAAAACACAAAAGCTGAACAGATCTCAAAAGGAACCTCCATGGGAGCCACGATGGCTGGCTGACACCAAAACTCCAGGCGGCAGCTTAGGCCTGGTCACGCGCCTGCTCACCTACATACATAATGTAAATAGTGAACGAAAACCCAGTGAATAATAACAAAGTAAAGATTTTACTGAATGATGTCCATAGAGAAATAGAGTCTTGTAT